TCTAGAAGAAAGAAGAAGGGGGTGAAGAGTGTTAGAGAGGAAGGATGGGGGAAAGACCTATTTTTCTGTCTTTTCGGAAAAATAATCACTCAGCATGATCAGTGTGCACGTATATGCCCTTGAGTGACCTCAGTGATACAATGCAGAAACATCTCCCATGTGTAGCCAGATCTGTTCCCAATTGTAATTTCACAAACTGCCAATAAGCCTTGAGGGCCTAGAAGCAGAGCTGCCTTGGGCAGAATGAGAGCTGTCAGAAGTGGGCTTTTCCAGGTTAAGAGAAAGATGATATCCCCCAGGCATGGGAGCAAGGGGGAGCTCATGCCTCTGTGATTAAGAAGCACATGTATTAGGTCACTGGAAATACGGGGGGTAGAGGCCCCAAAACGGAGCCTCCGGCTGAGCATATTGATTTGCCAGTGTTGAACTTTATTCCCAGGCTCACCTGGGACACAAATGGCTTATAAGTTGCAAATGAATTCTGTGGCCACATTTTCCCCAAATAACAGTTCATCTTCATTAGAGATGACCACAATGTATTAACTTAATAGGATGTTCCAAGTGATTGTTTTCCAAATAACACGCTTCAGGGTTGGGATGAGGGAACATGAATGCAGTAATGTGTAGATACCAGTTCCAATAAGTTCAAGTTGCCAACTGCCCCCAAGCATTCAGTCACACTATTTCATAGAGTTACACAAATAATTTGGAGCTGTGTGGTTGCTTTGGCATGTCCTCACAGGTCAAGCTTAATGGTAAGTTTCAGATACTGACCATTCGGAAATTATGCCTGACCAATCAAAACAGTTATCCTACCAATTAGCATGGGCCTCTGACAAACCACAACAGTTGTTCCCACATAGTTGGTAGGTACCAGCTGATTATCAGTCCTGGCAGGCAGCTCTTAGATGCTCAGTAGGTCTCCAGTAAGTTTTGAACCCAGACTTTAGGAAAAACAGTATATACAATTATATCATTTCCGTCAAGCACCACACCAGATTTTTTTTTTTTTTTTGGTGCCAACAACATTCTAAAACAGAGAAGGAGTCAGATGATGAATAGGACAACTATGCTTTGTCTAAATAGAGGCCCTATCTACCTGCACTGGGCAAAATCTAGGCCTCTAATTACAAATGGGAGTTCCTGACTTGTGTTCAGTCCCACCTGGCCCAGAAACAATGACCTGGCCCAGAAATGATGACAGCACCGCACACTGCACCCTTGGCTGCTTCTGTCATGGCCTGGTGTGTGTCACTGCTCAGGTTTGCTCTTCCTAATGAAGAACGTTCAGTTTGTGTTGGTCTTTCTTTTCAGTTATAACGAAAACATAAAATTTCCTCTCCAAATGGAGAGTTACTGTGGTTCCTCCCTCCGTCCAGCTGAGCCCCCATTTCTTCTCTCTCTTCAGCTAACCTGGGACTTTTTTGGTTAACCTCCAACAGGGAATTGAGAAAGGAGTTGCTGGTAGCAGCTAGGCTTCAGCTCTTCTTGGCCTGGAACAATGGTTCTCTACCCTGACTGCACATTAGAATCACTTAGGTGGCTTCTAAAACATGCCCATGTTTAGATCCCTCTCCTGAGCAATTGACTTAGAGTCACTGGAGACATTTCTTTAAAAGACCAACGTCTAGCAAAGACACCACCGAAAAGGAAAATTACAGGCCAATATCTTTGATGAATATAGATGCAAAAATTCTCAACAAAATATTAGCAAACTGAATCCGGCAATACATAAAAAATATCGTAACACCATGACCAAGTGGGATACGTCCCCAGTTCACAAGGATGGTTCAGCATATGAAATCAATCAGTGTGATAACACCACATAAACAAAAGACAAAAAACACATGATCATCACAATAGATGCAGAAAAAGCATTTGACAGAACTCAACACCCATTCATGATAAAAAAAAAAAAACTCTTACCAAAGTGGGTATAGAGTGAACATATCTCCAGATAATAAAAGCTATTTATGACAAACCCACAGACAATATAATACTCAATGGTGAAAAGCTGAAAGCCTTCCTGCTAAAATCTGGAACAAGACAAGGATGCCCACTCTCACTTCTTCTATTCAACATAGTATTGGAAGTCCTAGCCACAGCAATCAGACAAGAAAAAGAAATAAAAGGTATCCAAATTGGGGGGACTTCCCTGGCAGTCCAGTGGTTAAGACTTCACCTTCCAACTCAGCGGGTGCAGGTTTGATACCTGGTTAGGAAGCTAAGATCCCATGTGCCTCATGGCCAAAGAGCCAAAACATAAAACAGAAGCAATATTTTAACAAAGTTCAATGAAGACTAAAAATGGTCCACATCAAAAAAAATCTTAAAAATAAAAAGGTATCCAAATTGGAAGGGAAGAGCTAAAACTGTCATTATATGCAGACGATATGATACTATATATAGAAATCCCTAAAGACTCCACACAAAAACTACTAGAACTGATAAGTTCAGCAAGGTAGCAGGATACAAGATTAACATACAGAAATCTGTTGCATTTCTTTACACCAACAACAAAATATCAAAGGGAATGTAAAGGAAACAATACCTTTTAAAATCGCAACCCCCAAAAGAAAATACTTAGGAATAAACCTCACCAAGGAGGTGAAAGACTTATTCGCTGAGACCTATAAAACACTAATAAAGGAAATGAAAGATGACTCAAAGAAATGGAAAGATATCCCATACTCTTGTATTGGAAGAATTAATATTGTTAAAATGGCCATACTACCCAAAGCCATCTACAGATTTAATGAGATCCATATCAAATTACTCATGACGTGTTTCACAGAACTAGAACAGATAATCCTAAAATTTACATGGTACCCTCAAAGACCTAGAATTGCCAGGGCAATTCTGAAGATAAAGAACAAAGCAGGAGGCAAAACCCTCCCAGACTTCAGACAATACCACAAAGCTACAGTAATCAAAACAGCATGGTATTGGCACAAAAACAATGGGTCAATGGAACAGAAGAGAGAGCCCAGAAATAAGCCCACACACCTAAGGTCAATTAATCTTCGACAAAGGAAGCAAGAATATAGAATGGGAAAAAGACAGTCTCTTCCAGCAAGTGGTGCTGGGAAAGTTGGACAGCTGCATGTAAATGGATGGAGTTAAAACACACCCTCTCACCATACACAAAAACAAACTCAAAATGGCTTAAAGACTTAAAACATAAGACACGATACCATAAAACTCCTAGAAGAGCACATAGGCAAAACATTCTCTGACATAAATTGTACAAATGTTTTCTTAGTTCCGTCTCCCAAGGCAATAGAAATAAATACAAAAATAAACAAATGGGACCTAATCAAACTCACAAGCTTTTGCACAGCAAAGTAAACCATAAACAAGACGAAAAAAACCTACAGAATGGGAGAAAATATTCACAAACACTGCGACCAACAAGGGCTTAATTTCCAAAATATACAAACAGCTCATACAACTCAACAACAAACAACAAACAACCCAATCCAAAAAATGGGCAGAAGACCTAAATAGACCTTTCTCCAAAGAAGAAATATGGATGGCCAATAGGCACATGAAAAGATACTCAACATCACTAAATATTAGAGAAACGCAAATAAAAACTACAGTGAGATGCCACCTCACACCAGTCAGAATGGCCATCATTAAAATGTCTACAAGTAACAAATGCTGGAGAGGGTGTGGAGAAAAGGGAACCCTCTTACACTGTTGGTGGGAATGTAAATTGCTACAGCCACTATGGAGAACAGTCTGGAGGTTCCTAAAAAACTAAAAATAGAGCTACAATATGATCTAGCAATCCCAGTCCTGGGCACATATCCAGAGAAAACAATACATGCACCCCAATGTCCACTGCAGCACTATTTACAACAGCCAGGACATGGATGCAACCTAGATGTCCATCAACGGATGAATGGATAAAGAAGATGTGGTACATATATACAATGGAATATTACTCAGCCATAAAAAAGAAAGAAAGAATGCCATTTGCAGCAACATGGATGGACCTAGAGATTGTCATACTGAGTGAAGTAAGACAGAGAAAGACAAATATATGATATCGCCTATTTGTGGAATCTAAAAGAATGGTATAAATGAACTTGTATGCAGAATAGAAATGGAGTCACAGATGTGGAGAACAAACTTGTGGTTACCAGGAGGGAAGGAGGGGGAGGGATTGGGAGATTGGGATTGACATATAGATGCTACTACATGTAAAATAGGTAACTAATAAGAACCTACTGTATAGCATAGGGAACTCTACTCAATACTATGTAATGAGCTATGTGGGAAAAGAATCTGAAAAAGAATGGATATATGTATATGTGTAGCTGATTCACTTTGCTGTATAGCAGAAACTGACAAAACACTGTAAATCAACTATACTCCAATAAAAAGTAATCTAAAAAAACCCCAAAAGACACATGCACCCCAATGTTCACTGCAGCCCTATTCACAATAGCCAAGACATGGAAACAACCCTAATGTCCACTGACAGATGAATGGATAAAGAAAATGTGGTGCATATATACAATGGAATACTACTGAGCCATAAAAAAGAATGAAATAATGCCATTTGCAGCAACAATGGATGCAGCTAGAGATTATCATACTATGTGAAGTAAGTCAGAAGGAGACAAATATCATATGATATCGCTTATATATGGAATCTAAAAAAATGATAGAAATGAACTTATTTACAAAACAGAAGCAGACTCACAGACTTGAAAAACAAACTTATGGCTAACAAAGGGTAAAGAAGGGGGAGGGATAAATTTGGAATTAACAGATACAGACTACTACATATATGAAAGATAAATGACAGGGACCTACTGCATAGCACAGGAAACTCAACTCGATATCTTACAGTAACCTATAATAGAAAAGAATCTGAAAAAGAATAAATATATATACACAACTGAATCACTTTGCTGTACACCTGAAACATTGTAAATCAACTCTACTTCAATAAAAAATAAAACTTAAAAAAGAAAAAGCCCGCTCACCTGGCCCCAGCTGGGGAAGGCCCACTCCACACACAGCTGTTGGTTACAGGCCTGGGTGTCGACTGGCCGTTTGGCAAGCTGTGTGCACATGTCATTGGACACAGGAGTGGAGATCCCAGAGGCTTTCAGCTTCTGGCAGGTCACTCGGCGGGTCTGGACACCGCCCCCACAGCTCCGGGTACAGGCGGACCAGGAGGTCACCATCCACCTGGAAAGAGAAGAGTCAGGGCAAAGGGTCAAGCCTTGAGGGGAGGGACGATGCCATACACTCTCAGAGAAGGAGCCCCATGCATCTTCCTCTTCTCACCACACGGCAGCTAATTGCAGGGCCATGTCTCTTTTCATAGTATATGCTTGGGGTGGTAGGCTGAAAATCCCCACCCCTCCCCGCCGAGATATCTATATCAAATCCCTGGAACTTGTGAATGCTACCTTATTTGGACAAAAGGTGTTTACAGATACAGCTAAAGATTTTGAGATGAGATTGTCCTGCATTATCTGGGTAGGCATTAAATACCATCATGTACCCTTATGAGAGAAAGGCAGAGGGAGATTGGACACAGAAAAGGAGGAGACAGTGTGACCACAGAGGCAGAGGTTGGAGTGATGTGGCCACAAGCCAAGGGACACCGGGAGCCACCAGAAGCTGCAAGGGCCGAGGAACTGATTCTCTCCCAGAGCTTTATGGAGTGGGTACAGCCCTGCTGACACCTTGATTTTGGACTTCTGGCCTCCACAACTGTAGGAGAATAGATTTCTCTTGTTTTAAGCAACGATGTTTGTGGTAATTTGCTGTGGCAGCCACAGGAAACAAATACCCTTTGGAAATTGACTAAAAAGGCGCAATGTGAAAGAGTTTTCTGAAGATCAGTTGCCTTTTCTTAACATTGGCCCCAAAAGCCGTGAGCTTGCAGATGACACATTCTGGGAAGACAGTCCTTTAGCTGGTTACGCTGCATTGCAGTTCTGATACTTCCTGATGGCATCCAAGTGCGGGGCAGAGAAGGGACAGTTTCCCAGGGAAGTCAGATCCAAACCTGGGTCGCCCCCCTGACCCTGGAGGCGGTCTGGGTCTCAGTTAAGCCAAGTTCTATCTGCTTGTACTCACTGTTTTTTCTACGTCGCCTTAACCCACGTCTCATTTGATTTTGTTTAATCCCTCAGAAACCTACGAAGTTCCTTCCAGCTTTCTGGAGCAATTCCCATGCCCATGAGTCACAGTCCACAGGTCTTACACCTCTTAGAGGGCTGTATACGTGGTGACAGTAGTCGTTTCAGGATGTTAGCTTCTAACTGCAATTCGGGCCCTCAGAAGTGAGACTGACCAGGACTGAGACAAATGGCTTTCCACGTAAAGCCAAGCTGTAAGCTGGGAGACACTCTGAAATCCTTGGTCTGTATACAAATGTGGAGGGGTTCTCTTTGGATGTTTGTACCCTGGGCTAATTCTCAAAGAAGAGGGGAAGGGGGTGCAGTTTGGGGAAAAGAATGAGAAAAAAATTTGGTGCTTTCCAGCCATTTAATTCCATCTAGAGAAAACATTTTGTTTTACTGCCTGAGAAAAAATTTTTCTAAATGAAGTGGCTGAAACAGCTACCTGGGTCAAAGCGGGACTTCGCAGTGTTATTCAGAAAGCCTACGAGGGCCACACTTGTTTGTGTGCAGAGAAGGGGGCTGACGTGCCCAGGAAGCCTGGTGGGGAAACAAAGCAAAGGTGAGCCTGTGGCCACTTCCTCGTCTAGTGGCGCCACATCTGGCTTTCAGGAGAGGTAAGTAGCAGGGAGCAAATTCCTCCTGAATCTGGATCTGTGACTTATTTAATTTGGTGGAACTCCTCTGCTCCATTAGCCCTGGAGAGAGATGACTGCGTGCAGATTTCCATCTTGCAGGAGCAGAGCCACTTAGGAAACAAGCAGACGGTGTTTTAAAGCCCCTGGGGGCACTGAAACCCAAGCAGACCCAGCCATTGTTTCATCTGCAGAAGTAAAATAAGGCTGATTGACTCTGACCATCACCACAGCAAATCAAAAAGTCCCTGGCATGTCCAAGACCTCCTCTTCATTTCACACAGCTTGGCAAGGGCAGTCTTCCAGCCTCTCGTATCCCTGGTGAATGTCAGGCCTGCCTTTCAATCAACTTTTATTTCCAAATATCCATTTCAGCAATTTTTCAGGAGTTGGGGTGGGGGCTTTGAGAAAAGAGAGGTATGGGCTATGTTACAGTCCAGGAAGGGTATAAAAGGACATTAATCATTCCCGTGGAAACCTTCCCGTCAGCAAGTCAAACTGCTGATATTAACAAGTGTGTTTCATATTTCATTGGGCTGTCCTGGTTTCAGCTGCTTCTTATGACTCAGCTGGCAAAACACAAAGCAGTTGCCTAAGTAGTGGATGAACGTCCCACAGATAGGTAGTAAAGGGGCATTTCAGGACCCAGCCAAGTCTCCCCGGGCTCTGGGGCGCCATGCTGGTGCCCACTCCAAGCCCATCCATTATCCCTTTAGCTGCTGCCTGACACTGGGTGGCAGGGGAAGGGTACTGCTCGGTGGGACTCAGCTGCTCAAAGCTCAAGGCAGATGGAAGAGGCAGAGACTGTGGGTGTCATTCTGAGCTATATATAAGGGACCCAAATGCAGAGAATGTATATAGTTGGCCCTTGAACAACACGGGTATGAACTGCACAGATCCACTTATACTCGGATTTCTTTCACGAAATACCTACTACAGTACTACACCATCCGTTGTTGTGAAACTGCAGATGTGGAGCGCCGACTATCAGGTTTTAGGTGGATTTCTGACTGCTCGGGGTCGGCGCCCCTAACCTCTGCATTGTTCAAAGGTCAACTGTAAACCCAAAGTTGATGGGAAATGGAAATTTATGTCAACTTTAGCAGGATGCAACCCTTTGTAGAAGAGAGAATAATATTTCCTTAACTAAACTGGAGTACTGATGAGCACAGGTATTTACAGCTAGAAGAAAGGGGAGGAGTTGGGGTATAGGCCAATGGTCACTATCCCCTAAACACTTCAACTGCAAACATGTTTCTTTTCTCACAAACCAACCACAGAGCCAGCTTCTTACTGCAGTATGGGAGCTCTCTCTTGCCAGGGCCTGGGATGCTCCTGGCCCCTGAACAGACCCTATCAGGCCCTTGGGAAGCCTAGGCAGCCTTTAGCCGGCTGAATAGTGAGGGAAGAAACAGCGAAGGGAGGAGGCTCATCCTGAGGGATGTTTTCTGTGCAGTGGAGAGGCTGGCGGGCCTGGGCCTACAGGAAAGGACGTCAGGTCCCCTCACCTGCACTTAATGTAGCTCTCTCAGTGATAGACAAGGGCTGGCTATGAACTTGGCTAAAAGTCCAGGCCCATCCTTGGGAGTGGGCGGCCTGAGCCAGCATCCGGCGCACTCACCGGGAAGGGCAGTCTCTCCGGTTGCAGGCGATGGGCTGCACAGCAGGACGCACCTTCCCTGCGCAGCGGGTGGGGTTGACCTCCGTGCTGTTCAGGAGACACCTCAGGCGGGCCTGCTGACCCCCTCTGTTACCACAGGAGGCTGAGCAGGTCGCCAGTCTGTCCACAGACCACCAGTAATCTATCACAGAAGGAGGATCAGAGGTGAAAAGAAGATAACATCAATGCCCATGTTATTCCTTCAGAGTGGTGGGGTGGGGTGTGGTAGGAATGAGATGCTGTTATGAATGAGGCTCTGCCCTGAGGTAGGCTCCATTTCCCACCGATCTAGGCAAGTCACGTGGTCTCCAGGGGCCTCGGCTGGCTCATCCATAAAGTGAGTACAGTAGCTCTTATCTTGTCATGCTACTGTGAGGACTGGATATAAAGAAAGTACAGGGCCTAGCCCAGTGCCTGGCACATAGAACTTCATCAGTGGCTGTAGCCCTCGTATTTTTTAACCTACTTCCTTCCATTAGTTTACCAGAAAGTGACTCTTTCCTTCCATTAGTTTACCAGAAAGTGACTTTATTTTTCAACAAAGAGATGTAAAAATATCAGAGGTACTTAACAATCATATTTAAAAGTCTGTACTGGAGTTGGACTTTGTATATGTTACAGAAAAACATCCTATCCAGAGAGGCTCACTTTTCACGATGACATCGGTCAGAAAGGCCATTTCTTTGGATTTTCGATTTGGGGGTCTGGGACTGACTGGTAGGAAAGCTGTTAAAAATAACTGGGCTGGGGCTTCCCTGGTGGCGCAGTGGTTGAGAGTCCGCCTGCCGATGCAGGGGACGCGGGTTCGTGCCCCGGTCCGGGAAGATCCCACATGCCGCGGAGCGGCTGGGCCCGTGAGCCACGGCCGCTGAGCCTGCGCGTCCGGAGCCTGTGCTCCGCAACGGGAGAGGCCACAGCAGTGAGAGGCCCGCGTACCGCAAAAAAACAAAACAACAAAACACAAAAACAAAAACAAAAAATAACTGGGCTGGTAAATTTTGAGTGCTTATTTGCACTCAAAAGATTTGTGTGCTACAAATCTTGCAGATAGGCACTGCCTTCTGGTTTTGAGCAGAGAGTGGTGCCTGGCTGGCGAGAAAACGCAACCTTGACTTTCCTGTGTGGAAAGTGAGATGGCGGTGGAGGGTGTTTAAGGGCAAAACCTACACGCTCAGGAAAATCTCCCCCCTTATGTGCTATTCTGGGATGAACTCTGTCCCTTCCCACGGAAACCTCCATTGTAGGATACGTGCAGTAGAATTTTG